CTCCGGTGGCATTGCTACCCCCTCAGGGCCCCCGTCCTGCCTAATCCTAGAGCGGTTGACCACGAGATCTAGACCTTTGACTTTTCACGGACGGGCTTTGAACAGTGGACCTCTCCACCCGGTTGTGTCAGGTCAGCTCAGAGGGACACCTGAGAGCAACATCCAGGCCAAACCGACAGCTACATCCCCTCCGTGTAGACCCGATGCGTCCGTTTTCCCCCTCCAGGTGCCGGCGGCGCCGTCCGTTAGGGGGGGCACGCCCCGGAGATGCGTGCCGCCTCTTCGAACATGCCACAACACCACCCGGTTGTGGTAGGTCATCCCATGGAAACACTTGAGAGCAACGTCCCCTCCGTATAGACCCGATGCGGCTGTTTCCGCCCTCCAGATGCTGGCGGCGGCGCCGTCTGTGAGGGGGGCACACCGCGGACGTGAGGGGGTCACACTCGGGAGACGGGTGCCGGGCATTTGCAACCGCCACTCAACTTCTATCGCATAGCTATTTTTGATTTTAATAAAATTTAAGGACCTATATTCAAAAGAACATGACAGCATATTATTAATGTGCTCGAAAAAAATACAAACTATATATATATATATATATATATATATATGTTCATAATCTATGGACAAAATTACAAACTACATATATATTCATATAATACATAAAAAAGTATGAACACATATTTTTTAAAAAGCATAAAAACATATGCAAAAAAACGTATGTAAAAAAAGCATTAAAACATATGCAAAAAAAAATATGTAAAAAAACAGCTATGCCGACGGCATAGATACGGCAGAGTTCTGGCGGGCGCCGTGCCGCGGATCGGTGACGTGGCAGATATGCCAACGGCTGCCGTCGGTATACCTACGCCGCGGATCGGTGACTTGGCATGCGGAGATATGCCGACGGCCGCCCGTCCCGACCGTCGGCATAGGTTTGACGGCGTTAGCCGCTAGTCACGGGCGGGGTCGCCGGGCCCACAGTTATACCGACGGCTGATTTATGCCGACAGCTGCTGTCGGCATGTCTGCGGCTAGGTCGACGGCCGTTCTGTGCCGACGGCGGCCGTCAGCATAGATCCACGTAACCCGACGGCCAGTGTAAGCCGACGGCCAGGACTGGGCTGTCGGCATATCTCAAACTAGGCCGACGGCAGCCGTAGGCATAGGTTTGGCCGTCGGCGTATGCCCGTTTTCCAGTAGTGGTCGGCGCGTTGGGTCGTCATTTTTGTCCGCGTAAACCCAAATGGACACAGACGGACGAAATGAATCGCCCCATTGAAGTTGCTCTTAGTTCCGTGTTGGGCACTAGATCACCTGAAGGACCGACCATGCCCTCGCCAGTCATGACGGGCAGGCACAACATCAACTCGTCCCTGCAGTTCAACAGTTTTTACAGGTGGAGGCCGAGCTTTTTCGGCCAACCTGTAGCAAGTTCAAACCGAAATGGGCGAATCAAGCGGATGCCTGCGAGAGATTTGGAATGGAACTCCCTGAAACCGCACTAAAACCAGGGCGTAGCACAATCTTGGGATTTCTGAGTGTTTTGCCGGTTATTTTGCAGCATGCCCATCTGACGGCCTCCCTGGAACCTGCCTGTGCGGAAGTTTTCTAAAAAAAATACTACAAAAAATAATTTTGGATTCAAGCTCCGGTAAGTCAACTTGGTTTGAGACTCTCGCCTTCTCAGATTGGGCGCCTCGCCTCGCTCCCCGGTGTCAATTTCCGCTGCAGATCCATCGTCTCCACGCTGGAGTACTGCTTGCCCCTCTTCGGGTCCTCCGAGAACTTCCTTCGAGCCCTCAGGAGTGGCTCCGTTCTCGGGTGCGACCTCGACCGGGTGGTTAAGCCCAATGTTGCCTTCCTGCAGGAGTGCGGGCTAGGTGGTTGCGATATTGCCAAGTTCTACGTATTTAGGCCATCGCCGCTCAGCATCAGCACGGAAGGCATCCAGACAGCAGTGGCGTGCGTCGACGGTCTTGGTGTACCCCGTGGATCTCTGATGTTCAGGCATGCGTTACAAGCTGTTGCATTCCTCAGCGAGGAGAAGATCGCCGCCAAAGTGGAGCACTTGAAGAAGACGTTCAGGTGGTCTGATGCCGAGGTGGGCATTGCTTTGTCCAAGCTTGCGCCTGTGCTGACGAGGTCTAACCAGATGCTGGACAGCAAGTCAGAGTTCCTCATTTCCGAGGTGAGGTTTGAGCCAGCATACATTGCTCATCATCCGGCATTGCTCACGTACAGCCTGGAGGGCCGTATCATACCCCGGTACTATGTTGTAAAGTTTCTTAAGGAAAATGGACTGCTGGATCACAACCGGAGCTACTATACTGCATTCATTGTGATGGAGAAAGTATTCATAGAGAAGTACATATGCCCTCACAAGGAAGTTGCACCATACCTTGCTGAAGACTATGATGCCGCTTGCAGAGGGGAAGTGCCGACTAGATTCAAATTTACATGAAAATTGGTAACAGTACGGCACAGCAAATTTTTTACATTCCGTGTTATGCTATTCATTCCTGATTTGGTGTTCTTGGCCTAGCTGAATTGTAGTTGTCTGCTATTGATAAACTATTGTATGTTTGTTACATGCTGACTTGATGGTGCTAGTCTAGGATGAAATTGGCAATTTGATTTGAGAGTATTGGTATGCTCATTATGACATTCAATTAGAGAAGAAAGCATCGTACTACTAGCTTGTGCACTCTAAGGTCGCATTGACATACATATTGGATTTACGGGAATCTTTGTGAATGGCTGCTCCAGCCACGGATACCCTCCCTTTCCACCTGGAGATAGGAGCCATGTCAGAAAAAGCAATTCAAAGTACTAAGCACTCTCTGACACATATCCCCACAACATTACATTTGAAATGGATGGTGTCCAAAGTGGAGCAGTGGTTTCGTGGAGCCAAATGTCATCTCTTCGTCGCCTATTTAGTTAAATCTAAGTCTAGATATTGCATAACTATAGAATCTTGCAGAACTTAGAACGTAGGAATAGTATACATGTTGTGTACCTCAAATTAGGACCCAAGCTGTGGTGGGGATGTGCATATTTGTCTGTTCCTGATGTTAGGCTTTAGAAGTTGGAAGAAATGAGATCTCAGCTGTGTGCTTGCAGTAACACAAAGGAGATGGGTCCATGCTATTAATCGCAAAGAGATTTGCTTTGAAATGAACATCTGTTGTGTGTCCCTTCTTTGGTGCCTAGCTTGTGGAATTATAGGAGCATACTGATTTTCTGAATGTAGACGACGCGTTCTTTCTTTCAGAAGATGTGCTGAAACCGGATGCAGATGCATGGTGTTCCCTTCTTGTTCTTCCAGGAGATCGATGAAGCAGGGTGCTCGGACTCTGCTATCATATATGTGATTCTGAAGGTATTTGTGGACTTGACGCCTTGCGTGAAGAAGCTCCTACTTTTGTCCTTTTGGATTTTGCAATTTCAGTAAACCTTCTTTCTAGTAATCTGAATCAGAATCAGAATCAGATCTGATTAGTTAACTCTGAATCTTTCAGCCACCAAGTGAAGATATCTATAGTAACTGCTTAAATGTGTAGCCATGTTTGTTTTACTCGAATCAGAGCTGCAAAATAAACAAGAATCTTACAACAAAGTTGGTCATTAATGCTAATACGGGAAGAACGTGCTATTTTGTATTCAGCAAATGCTTCAAGTATCATTGATGAGTACATTTGCACACTCTATCTCTATGTTCTCGATGTCCATTGTAGTTTGCAATGCAATACTCAATCTTTCTTTCAGTGAATAAATCTACATTATTGTTATGTCATTATTTATGCTCAGCAAATGGCTAGAGTATGTACTCTCGGTTTAGCATGGTATCCATTCTACCTAGATTGATCTCAGGTGTTACACTAACATTTGTAGTCTATGCTATTTGCTATATCAAACCAGAGTTACTTTAGGCATTAACAAATGCAAACTGGTTTCCATTGTATGGGATTTATTTTTTAGTGTTGAAAAATATATCTTCAGAACTATGCCGAGCTTCTACTACTGACCGTTATGAAAGAACATGCTAATGCTGGATATTATATTTTTTTCCATACACTCCCAAGATGGGATATATTACTCGATGTGATGCATTATCAGCTATATAAAATTTTCTGTCATGAGAGCAGATTGCTAGATCTATTCTGCATATTTTTCAGTTTGTTGTGCATGCTATCTTTTGCTTCATGGTTTGTGTGCTTCAGAACTCGTGTTTTTATTCAGGCATGGATGTGCTTCATAACCCAATACTCCCCCTCACAATTTGTTAGCTTATGAGATGACAACGAAATTGTATCTTTGTTGCTTCTTCTCTGCAAAATTTCGGATCTTTAAAAATTTAGGAAATGAACTATTAATAATTTAATACTTTAGAATACATATTAATAATTTAGGAGTCCTATTGAAGAAATATGTTGTAGGCCTGGTTGAGATGTGATTTACATTTTCCTGTCACAGATCGTCCTCTGATGCTATATTAGCAGTCTTTTAATCTGCGGCCTGAATTCCAGATCGTTAACTCTTAAATGATTACCAAGAGTGGCAGATGGGCAGAACCTATCCTATCAAATTGCTATCCTGAGCTTCTCTCTCCTGATGTCTTGATTGATTTGCCCCAAATATATTTGCAGGGTTGCATCATTTTTGTGTGATGTCGGCAAACCATTTGTGTTCTTCGGTATTGCATTAGAAACGATGCCCTACCTGTACTTGTGTCCATGCTTCATCTTCATGTAGTCATGTTATTTGCTTCCTGCAGTTTCTGGATCGATCGTCTTGGAAATTCTCCATGCTTGCTTCCAGCTGCTAATCTAGTGAGGCAAAGCAAACATCTCATTTGGTTTGATCTGCATATTCTATCAACATGGAAACAAAATTATATGTTGGTTTAACATCAGCAACTGCAGGCGCTAGCACCGTAGCTCTGCCAACCAAGATGACCATCGCGGATGAGCTCGAAGTTGATGTCTGAGCCCTAGCCTTTTGCTTCTCCACGTTAACGTAGAGGAGGCATCTGGCACTCCAGATCAGGAACTCGACGAGCTATTTATTGGGTGCCCCAGTGACAGATCCTCGTGTCGTCTTCAGCTCCAGCCATTGTAGCGGCTGGCGAGGAGTAGATCGTCTTGGAAATGCCCGATGGACCCCAGTAAAACCCAGGAAGAAAGCACTCGAATTGTTGAAGAAGTATGAAAACGCCATGATGTGTGGGAACATAAATGGCGGTGTATCTTTTGAAATCATGCCGCCTTGGTGCAGTGAAATCATGCATGAGCCCTTTGTGCAGTATAGCTGGCCAAACGGGCCGTGCTAACTGGGCCGGCCCGGTAGCACGCAGGAATGGCACGGCCCAGGCACGGCATGGCCTGAGCTAAACGGGCTAGGCCCGGCACGCGGCACACCATGGGCCACGCCTGGGCTTGGAGGCTGGGCACGTGGGCTGGCACGGCACGGCCCGTTTATTTTTTTTTCAGTTTTTTTATGTATATGACCTAAATTACAGCCCAATAGGCCTAAAATACAGCCTAACAGGCTAAAAATCAGATGGGCTAGCGTGCTAAACTTACCACGGGCCGGCCCATTTAATAATCAGGCCGTGCCTGGGCCAGAGAGAAACGCCCGTGGGCCGGCACGGCACGGCCGGGCTATTAAACGCGCCACGGCGGGCCGTGCCAGGCCAGGCACGATTAGCATGGGCTGGGCCGTGCCGGGCCGGGCCGGCCCGTTTGGCCAGGTCTGTGGTGCAGTACGAGATAAACCCTCAATGATTCAATTCTGTCTGCAGGGCTTCCCGTTTCTTCCTGGCTGAGGTTCATTAACTAAGTTAACACAAGGGCTTTCGACCACTCGGCGGCAACGGAAATGACCTTGAGAATAGCAGCTTATTTGCTGGCAAACAAAACTGTGATGATATTCTCAAGGTTGTTGTCCTTGGAGAGTACGACGACTTTCTTCATTGCTCCCCGTGACGACACCTGCCACAGGTCCAATCCTTGTGCTTCTTCTTGGTCGCGCCATGGAAATATGCGCACATCAGCGAGCATGACCACATAATTTGGATACTTGTCACTAGTGATTGGGGCGCCATCCTGTGGCGCCGCTTGAGAGGAAGCCATGCGCATGTTTGTATTTAAAAAATAAATAAAATCTTGGCCTCCGTCTAAAAAAAATCTCAAAAAAAAGTTAATCCTCACCTTTATCTAAAAAAGAAAAAAAATTACCACAGCAGCCTACCAGCGAGTGCCACTTTGCCTAACCCACCATTTAAAAAATATCAGAGGTCCTCATCTCCATCTAAAAAAATACATTTTAAAAAATAATCCACATCTTCATCTAAAAAAATTGTAAAAGATTTCTCACCGCGGCCAACCAGCTTGCGCCACGTGGCATAACTGGTTGGCCGCCCTTCACGCGTAGCTTAATGGTTTTAGTTTGCAGTGCTCAAACTCCTAACGACCGTTCAACTCTTTTTGCATGTGGCGATGCAGGCCTCCCCGTCTACGAAGAATGCTCGCGTCTCTAGTTTATTCTTGATGATTAATTATGCTAACATGATTTTCATGGTTCTTTTTCTGGATTAATCTAATTTTAAAATTGATATTTGTTTTAACACAGTGGGTTTTGAACAGGACAAGGAGCATCGGATGATGGTTCCGCGTTGGGACTTGGTACAGGAAACTACGACCGGCCATTTTGTGGAAGACTCTTCAAGGCACAATGTGAAAACTAGACGAGTATACTGATATTTTTTTTTGCGGGGACGAGTATACTGATACGTGTCAATACACTTGACTTTATTTAGCATAAGATTTGTCCTTATATGCTTATTATATAGAATAGCCCCTCAACTAAAATCTTGGCCCCCCGCATCATCCTCAGCGGGCGACACGGGAGGCGATACCATATTCACTGCCTCCAGCCCCCTTCTCCCCTCTCTCTCCTCGCCGCCGCCGGCCAGCACCAGGCAAAGCCCCATGCGGAAGGTGGTGGCGGCGGGGCTCCTCTCCTTCCAGTGTCCATCCTGATCTCCACCCAGAGGTTTTGGGGGTGTGACCAGGAGGGCTGTAGCCACCCCATCTGGGCCGTCGGCCATCGCTAGCTGCCCTGATCCGGTCATGGTAGTCCGGAGGATGTCAGCGTGCGCTGGTTCCTTCCTAGACCCAATCATGGATGTGCGGTAGGAGGCATGCCTTCCCCTTACCCTGTCAAGGGCTGGCCGGGTCGTCGTTGTGGGCCGGCCTACGCTTAGATCCGGCAAGGGATCATGTCAGAAGCGTCGTGACTGCCCCACTGCTATCAATTATGTGGGTCTTGCGGTGAACATTTCGGCATGTTGCGGCGGCCTCGATGCGGATTGCGATGGCCACCGAAGGATCTTTGTGAGAGTTTTTCCATTCATATCCGGTGGTTGACTTCAGAGATGAGATGCAAACTATCGGTGATGGCTTTACGTAGAGGGATGATTGTGCAGCGGCGCGACGCATGTCACTACTGGGATCACGGAAAAGTGGTGGCAACAACACAAGTCAGGGTGGACACGGCCCGGGCCGGTCCGGTCCCGGTCCGAGCTGTGCAGCGGTCCTGATTTCAGGGACCGGACCGGCCGGCGTGAAGCTCTGTGCGTACCGGCAGTCCTCACGGTCCTGGCGACGTCCAGTCACTGCCATGTGGGCCCAGGACATCAGAGAGGTGGTCGGAGTAGCAGCACGGTGGCCGAAGCCGGAGAAGAAGCATCTGATGCGCGGCGACGCGAGAGAAAGGCACGGGAGAGAGAGGGAGCAGCATGGCGCGACGCAGAGGCGTGTTGGCGCGAGGGAGAGGCGCGGCGAGGGGACGACGACGAGAGGCAGAGGCGCGGTGGCACGAGGTTGTGCCAGGGATAGGGAGGTGAGGAAGAGGGGAGGAAGAGGGGCGGCGCGTGCGAGGAAGAGGACGGCAGCGGTAGTTCGCTAGGTCACGCACGCACGGTATGTGTTTGGGCTCTTCTGATTATCTTTAATTGGGCTAGGCCTTCGGTCCTCCGAGCTGGATCGAGCTTTAACCGGACCGGACCGACCGAATTTCGGTCTCGTTTTTACGGACCGGACCGACCATATTATCTAACGAGCCAGGACTGTACGGTCCGGTCCATAACTGGCCGCGGTCTGGGCCAGAAGCCCGCTCGTCTCGTCCACCCTGAAACACAAGTGAGGTTGATGGTGGTGCTACTCGAGCACCTGGTCTCGAGCTCCGGGGTGAAAGCCTAAGGTCTGACCTGAATTCGTTATATCTGGCAATGATGATGTTTTTACATCGTTACCTTATTGAAAGTGTTGTTTGGATATGCTCAGACTGGCTCTTCGGGGTGAAAACGTAGATTTTGCCTTAGGTGGTTAGATCTGGTAACGACGATGCTTGTGCATCGCTTCCTTTTTGAAGGTGGTACCGTCGAAGAACCTCGTCGCCAGTGCGATGTCATGAGATGGTTGGTGTGGATATGGTCATTGCCGTAGTTTGCCCATTGCAGATCTGATCATCTTTCGGCCTTTTCCCCTCTCGCCTATGCATAACTTTGGTTTTGTATGACTTTGCTATATGTTGGCCTTTTTGTGTGTGCGTGTGTTGATGTTGGCTGTGTGCATACAAACTATGCAGAGGCCGGGTGTGTGTTTATTCTGTTTGTATCCTCTTGATGCTTCATTTTGATCCAATAAAATCGACCCTTTATAAAAAAACAATTTAGCTACATGACACTTGCAACAAAAAAACACAATTTAGCTATATGCTCCTCGAGCTTGCACCCGCTCGACCCTTTTTTATTGTTCGTTCTGAGGTGGATTCGAACCACTCTCTTTGTTTGGATTTCGAGTTCAAAAGGCCCGGCGAAAGAGGATTTTCAGTCCTATACTCGCTGCCAGCCATAACGGGATTTTTCCACTTCACACCCACACAATCACGATTTGATGAAATAGCTACGTTTTTTTCTTATTTGATTCGGATACTGTCAATCTACTATCCATCTTTCTCTTTAGTTTTCTCTTTTTTTGCTCCTCAACCTACCTCCATTAGAAAAGGAATGGACAGGGTCTGCATTGGATAGCAAATACTCCTACCAAGTTTAGGCATGGTGCATGTGTGTTTGCACTCGGCAACGGCAAAGAAAACTCTTACTTTTATATTCTACTCCCTCCATCTCATAATGCAGATGTTTTTTTACATTACACTCTCTTGAAATAGGCTCTTATCCTGCTTTATAAATAAAGCAACGATCCATACAACCAACATCCGATCACCACCTAAATAATGATGGCTGGGGCCACAGCACAATCAAGCCCAAGAAAACATGAGAGAAATAAGGGGGGAAAATCCACCTGGTGGAAGCCACCAAGCGGCACTAAGAGGATGATAATCAACGCGCTGAAGCCACTAGAGCATCCATCATGAGGCCAAGCCAATCACGATCACGCTGCCTCGAGAGCGGGTGCTAGTGCTGCAGGAAAGCAAGGAATTTGAAGGAGTCAGACGCCTTCCTCGGAAAGATCTTCTCAATCACCATCTTATTACAAGTCGTTCAAAGAGTCCAGGTCATCTCTGCAAAAATAAGACAAAGTATGCTGGGTTGACTAGACTGCTGGATAACCCTATACTAGAGGAACTCCATTAGGTTTAGGGACTCCCAGTCAGGTCCCAATGCCTCGCGCACGAACGTCCACAACACTCTCGCCGCGGTACAGGAGAAAAGGATATGCGTCCTAGTCTCCGGTACCGCACACAGGGGGCATAAGCCATTGCCAGGGCCATGCCGCTTAAGTACCTCAGTCCCCGAGGGGATGCGGTCGCGAAGTAATTGCCAGAAGAAAATCTTAATCTTTAGTGGTAATGGGGCTTTCCACAACGGAGACAACCATGGGGTGGTAGGGGGCGGCATAGGGCGTGATACACCGTGCTCACTGAAAATTCCACCGACGGCGCCAACCGCCAAGACACAGTGTTTGGATAGTCCGGCAACACCGGTGGTAAGGCGGCCTGTAATCTAGTCCAGTCGTCATTCTCGTCCTATCCAAAGGAATGCCGGAACCGAATGTTCCATTGTCCCCTTGAAATGTCGCAGAGACAAGAATAGACGGGTCCACACAGATCGAGAACAGGCCAGGTAAGCACGTGTGCAGAGGCTCGGTACCCAACCAGGGATCCAGCCAAAATTGGACCCGTCCCCATTTCCTATGGAGTAGGAGATCCCTAAATTGATGTCCTTCATAATCTTTTGGATAGAGCACCAAAATTGCGATCTGCCCTGCCAGGAGCATGCCAGGGGAGGCTCACCCCTAAGGTATTTTGCCTGAATGAGTTGTATCCATAGTCCTCCCTCTCCTTGTAGGATCCGCCAGACCCATCGCAACATGAGCGCAACATTCATGCGGCAGGAGGCAGAGATGCCAAGGCCACCACAATCCTTAGGCATACATATGTCTGCTCACTTTACCATGTGATACTTTTGGCGGCCATTCGCATCCTGCCAGAAGAACCTCGCGAGATCCTTTTCGAAGGCACTATGAACACCTTCTGGTAAGATATACAACCCCATCATGTACATGGGGAGGCTCGCTAGGTTAGAGCTAATAAGGACCAATTTACTCCCTTTGGAAGTAAACTGCCCATGCCAGGGCTCGTCCCGAGATGCCACTCGTCCCACCAGAGGGTCAAAGGCACTCATCAGAATCTTCGAGTCGGCCATCGGTATTCCCAAGTATGTAATGGGGAATTAGGCTAGTCTGCAATTGAGGTTGTCCGCAATCCGTTGTTGTTCCTCTACGGGGAAACCTACGATGATGACCTCGCTCTTGTCAAAGTTGATCTTTAGTCCTAACATAGCCTTAAAGCATAAGAGTAGGAACTTAAGATTCACAATGTCCAGGTCGGATCCCTCCACCATAATCATGGTGTCATCGGCATGTTGGAGGTGGGTGACCCCTCCTCCCGGGATCAGGTGACCCACTACCCCCAATAGGTGACCTGCCGTCCTAGCTTTATCCAAAATTCCTGCTAATGCATCCACAACGAGGTTGAAGAGAAGAGGGGATATCAAATCCCCTTGATTCACTCCCGCTGAGTACGTAAAGAATGGTCCCACCTCACCATTTATGTTAATTGATGACCCACAAGTATAAGGGATAAATTGTAGCTCTTTTCGATAAGTAAGAGTGTCGAACCCAACGAGGGAGAAGAAGGAAATGACAAGTGGTTTTCAACAAGGTAATGTCAGCAAGTGCTGAAATTGAAAGTAGCAGGGTAGTTTGATAGCAAGGTAATTTGTAACGAGCAAGTAATGATACTAGTAGCAAAAGTGCAGCAAGATAGCCCAATCCTTTTAAGGAAAAGGACAGGCCAAAATAGTCTCTTATACTAAGCAAAGCATTCTTGAGGGTACACGGGAATTTCATCTAGTCACTTTCATCATGTTGGTTCGATTTGTGTTCGCTACTTTGATAATTTGATATGTGGGTGGACCGGTGCTTAGGTGATGTTCTGACTTGAACAAACCTCCTACTTGTGATTAACCCTCACGCAAGCATCCGCAACTACGAGAAAAGTATTAAGAATAAATTCTAACCATAGCATTAAACTTTTGGATCCAATCGGCCCTTACGGAATAGTGCATAAACTGTGGTTTAAGCTTCTGCCACTCTCGCAAACCCATCATCTAATTGCTACTCTACAATGCATTTCCTTTGGCCCAAATATGGTGAAGTGTCAAGTAGTCGACGTTCACATGACACCACCAAGGGAATCACAACATACATACTATCAAAATATCGAACACATATCAATTTCACATGATTATTTGCAACATGATTTCTCCCATGACCTCAAGAACAAAAGTAACTACTCATAAGTGATAAACATGCTCAAGATCAGAGGGGTATTAAATAGCATAATGGATCCGAACATATAATCTTCCACCAACTAAACCATATAGTAATCAACTACAAGATGTAATCAACACTACTAGTCACCCACAAGCACCAATCTATAGTTCCGGTAACAAGATTGAACACAGATGAACTAGGGTTTGAGATGAGATGGTGTTGTTGAAGATATTGATAGAGATAGCCCTCCCCAAGATGGGAGAGTTGCTGGTGATGATGATGGCGATGATTACCCCCTCCGGGAGGGAAGTTCCCCGGCGGAATCACTCCGCCGGAGGGCAAAAGTGCTCATGCCCAAGTTCTGCCTCGAGACGGCGGCGCTACGTCCCGAAAGTCCTCTCCCTATTTTTTCTAGATCAAAATTACTTATATACTAGAAGATGGGCACCAGAGATGGGCCTGGGTGAGCACGACCCACCAGGGCACGCCTGGGCTCCCTAGCGCGCCCAGGTGGGTTGTGCCCACCTGGTGGGCCTCCTCTTGTACTTATTTGCTCCAATATTCATCATATATTCCATAAAAATTCTTCGTGAAGTTTCATCTGGTTTGGAGTTGTGCAGAATAGGTAGCCTGACATAGCTTTTCCAGGTCCAGATTTCTAGCTGCCGGAATTCTCCCTCTTTGTGTGTACCTTACAAATTATGAGAGAAAAGGCATTAGAATTACTCCAAAAAGCATTATTATGCATAAAAACATCATAAATAACAGTAGAAAAACATGATGCAAAATGGACGTATCATTAATCGCAGTCTTTCTAGACCGGACCAACTGCATAATCCAGTTGCACCATCTGTCCTCAAAGCCCTAGCGCTCCTAAACTAATCGCAAGAAGTTCCAATCCAACCGATCATAGGCTTTCTGGAAATCCAGCTTGAGGATGACGCCCTTATGGTCGTGTGTCCGCACCTCATGGACAATCTCGTGAAGGGCCATGATCCCATCATGAATCCGTCGTCCCTTCAAGAATGTCGACTGGGGGGGTGGTCCAGTCGCGTAGACTTTGAAGAAAGTGCGCTCGAGCACGTTGATGACCGTGACAGGCCTGAAGTGCCTAATGTCCGTCGCCCCAACTATTTTGGGGACCAGGATAATGACTCTAAAGTTTATTTGCACCATGTCAAATATTCCAACATGAAATTCGTGGAATACCGACATGGTCACAGGTTTAAGGACATTCCAGAATTTATAGAAGAAGGCAACCGAAAGACCGTCAGGACCCGATGTCGACCCCGCCTTCATAGAGGCGATCGCCCTACCCACCTCTTACGATGAAAATGGGGTAGTAAGTCCTGCATTCTCAATGTCGGAAACCCTGTTCGCCATCAACCAGAAATTTCCCGCCAAAGAAACCCCACCACGGGGTTCCGCCGTGAAGAGCCCCTTAAAGGAGTAAATGTGAGAACTAATCTCACTCGGATGCTCTAGGAGGGTATCTCCCTCCCAGAGGCACGGGATAGCGCACTTCTGGCGCCTTCCATTAGCTATTGCCTGGAAGTAGGCGGTGTTAGAATCACCTTGGAGGAGCCATTTCTGGCCCCCTCTGTTGCCGGAACAATTCCTCTTCCTTGAAAATCTCCACCGGGGAGGATTCAAGGGAGTACCGCTGCAACCAATCGTCGGACCATAGACCGACTGAATCAGCAGCTACGTCTAGGGCCTTAATCTGATCTAGCAAGGCCCCTTTACGGGCCCTCAGATCAGCACCCATGTTGGCGCCCCAACCCCGCATAAACTGGCGGGAGATCTTAGAGCAATGATGCTAGATATCTGTAGCACAGAATACCCGCGGTGGGTTGGCTGCTGCTTGAACCCGACGAGGCCTTACCATTTCAAAGAACCCCAGCTGTAGCAGCCATGACTGTTCGAAATGGAAGCGCCTGGACCACGGCGGGGGCCCTTCCCCTGACGAGAACAACATGGGAACATGATCGGAACCAATCCTAGTGACCGCTCTCAGAAAGCACAGTGGGAACATAATCTCCCACTGGATAGTTACCAGGACCTGATCCAACACACTACGGGCTATCTCACGTAGGGCCATATCCGCTATGCAATCATTGAACACACCCATCCGGAGCCGGTCAATATTAGGAGAGCTCTTCTCAGCCTCCTAAGGGATAAGGTTGAAATCCCCAGCGACTACAACCGGCATAGTGCAGCGTTCTACCTTATCTTTCAGCTCGGCCAAGAAGTCCGCCAACCGCCAGTGAATAGCCGGGCCATAGACAATGATCACCTCCCAGCTGAGGTTCACACGTCAGTCGATAATGGACATACTGAGGAAAATTTCTCCTCGGTCCATATCCTCCACCGAAATAGAGTAGTGTCTAAAATAGAGTAGTATTACATACTAACGCACCTAGCATTTGGAGCGAGTAATGGATCCACCCCGGCCGCCCGACATGTCCATGTGGAGCTTAATTTCACTGAAAGTTTCCATCCTCGATCCAAGGTTATACGACAAATAAAGAAACAACACGTCCCAATCGGTCGACGTAATCACTTGCGTATGTCCTTCATACCACGACACCAATTCAAAGACCTAGTCAGTATGTTTGCCCATCGCCTGCCACCTATAAATAATGTATGGTATAATGGTAAGATGGGCAGAGCATCATCATCAGCAGCAAGACACTAGCTACTGGCCACAATAGCCCATTGCCGTCTCCGCCGGAAATGGCTTCCTCTCCGGCACCGGCGGGCGAGAAAGCACACGCCGTGTGCCTGCCGGCGGCCGCGCAGGGGCACATCATCCCCATGCTCGACGTGGCCAAGATGCTCCACGCCCGCGGCTTCCACGTCACCTTCGTCAACACCGAGTACAACCACGCCCGCCTCGTCCGCGCGCGGGGCGCGGCCGCGGTGGCCGGCGTCCCGGGGTTCCGCTTCGCCACCATTCCAGACGGCCTGCCGCCGTCGAACGATGATGTCACGCAGGACGTCACGTCGCTGTGTAAGTCCCTCACGGAGACCTGCCTCGGGCCCTTCCGCCGCCTCCTCGCGGAGCTCAATGACCCAGCCACTGGCCACCCGCCCGTGACTTGCCTCGTCGCCGACATCATTATGGACTTCTCCATGGAAGCAGCCAGGGAGCTCGGCCTCCCCTATGTCCAGCTGTGGACGTCCAGCGCCGTCAGTTATGTCGGTGTCCGCCACTACCGGCTCCTCTTCGACCGTGGCCTCGCACCGATCAAAGACATCAAGCAGCTGACAAATGAGTACCTTGACACGCCGGTGGATGACGTGCCGGGCATGCAGAACATGAGGTTCAGGGACTTCCCGACCTTCATACGCAGCCCGGCCTCGGACGACTACATGCTGCATTTCGCGCTCGGCATTGCGGAGCGCGCGGTCGGCGCGTCGGCGATGATCGTCAATACCTTCGACGACCTTGAGGGAGAGGCGGTGGCGGCCATGGAGGCGCTCGGCCTGCCCAAGGTCTACACCATCGGCCCGCTCCATCTGCTGGCGCCGACCTCAAGCATCAGCATGAGCCTGTGGAAGCAGGAGGAGGAGTGCCTTCCATGGCTCGACGGCAAAGAGGTCGGCTCAGTCATGTACGTCAACTTCGGCAGCATCACCGTTATGACCAACGAGCAGCTCCTGGAGTTCGCGTGGGGGCTGGCCAAGAGCGGCAATCATTTTCTCTGGATCATCCGTCCCGACCTCGTCAAGGGCGACACCGCAGTGCTCCCCCCGGAGTTCTCGGCCGAGACGGTGGAGCGTGGGCTCGTGGCCTCCTGGTGCCCGCAGCAGCAGGTGCTGAACCACCCGGCCGTGGGCGCGTTCCTGACGCACAGCGGCTGGAACTCGACGCTGGAGAGCATGTGCGGCGGCGTGCCCGTCATCAGCTGGCCATTCTTCGCGGACCAGCAGACCAACTGCCGGTACCAGTGCAAGGAATGGGGAGTCGGCATGGAGATCGACACCGACGTCCGGCGCGACGCCGTCGCAGACCTTATCACTGAGCTCATGGAGGAGGAGAATGGAAAGGTGATGAAGAAGAAGGCACAGGAGTGGAGGGAGAAAGCGGTGAGGGCGACCAAGCCCGGCGGCTCGTCTCACCGCAACTTTGATGCGTTGATTCACGACGTGCTCGCTCCTAGCCGCTCTGGGTAGTGTACCTGCTTTAAGTTTTTTTTTTCTGAATCCCTTCTTTTACGGTGGAGGCCGGTTTTGAGAATATTTCGATAATCTCAGCAAATTAGTACCCAATAAAATCAAATATATTTTGAATTGACAATGTGCCAAAATAAATGTAATTGATCCGTGGTTTTGCAATTAGTAGCGCCCGCTCACTTCATTACTCCCCAGATGTCGATTCTAAGCTGGTACCTCGCACTTGCACATGGACGAAACGATTTGAATAACCCGAAAAACTTTTAAAATGTGAATATTTTTTGTACATACAAACAAAATATCAAAAATGAAGAAATTTTTCTAAAGCTTTGAAGATTTTTTAAACACGATTTTTTTTGTAAAAGTGAACAATTTTTAAAACTTCAGTTTTTTTAAAAAAAATGCAAAATAAAATAAAATATGAAATAAATTTTGACAATTAAAATAAACAAAAAAGAGGAAACAAAAAATAAGAAAATAAAAAACAAAAATAAGAAAAATAAATAGAAAAAAACAGTCCAGGAATCTTCTAAAATGTTCCCTAACCCAGTAAAACCGGGCTGGGAAGCTCTAGAAGGTTCCCAAAACCGGAACTTCCAAGGTCACGTACTGCAGGAGATGGCTGGTCAATTTTTTTAACATCAGGCTACTCTTTATTGCAATGTGATCATCATATTATCTTTTACAAGAGTATTAATGATCTCTACGGATGGATCTTTCATCCACCCCCCACACACCTTACTTCTAATTAGTTTGGCTAAATCATGGGCATCACAATTAGTCTCTCTAGGAGCACGCTAAAAAATAATATGCAGGAAATCACACGCAAGATGATATATATCATCAAAAACTATCGCTGATAGACCGAAAGAGCGACATCCATTCTTCATTGTCTATATCACCTCGATATTGTCGGAGTCCTTTATGCGGTTAGACCCGACTATAGTTACCAAATTGAGACCAAACTGTAATGCCTGTGCCTCGGCCATAAGCTAGCGCATCTCCGCACCAATTGATTTCCTCAATTTATGCCGCGACGATCTGCCATTCGAGTCTCTGATGACATCTCGCCATACACGCCTTTGAGTAAGTCTTGGTCAAAAGCCCCATCCACATTTAGCTTCACATAGTTGCTCCTTGGTGTTTCCCAACCATCTCACTTGATCATCGCCTTTGCATCGCTCGTCATAGTATAGTTAGCAACCAAAGCTCTGATTTTCATTACTATGTACTTAGCTTCCTGGACCTTTTATTATGCATTAATTTTCTCCTCTCCCACATAAATACCAGGAACCAATAGCAATTACTTCCGTTGAATTTCCCACACCGAGGACCACACATTCTTCAGCTGGTTCTAGCAATAAATATTCTAGCACAGCTTCTCCCGCATGATCAACAACGCATACTTTATCCATAGCAAAGTCCAAACCCGGTAATTGTCATGTCTCTTAAGCTTTTGCACAAGTGAATAACATATGCTTGGTATCCTCCAGATGGCCGACCTAATTGATCACGCACCTGTGCGTTTTTTCGACCATTGGACGCAGAGAGGGTCAAATAGGATTTCGAGACTCATGCGTCATGTCTCTCACGTGCCATCTGATCTGGGCTGGACTGGGCCAGGCTAGAGAATATTCAACACACTGTGATCTAAATAAATAATCAAAGCAAACCCTCTTACAAACATGAGCCATCTCCCCCTAAAAAATGAGCCTTCCGAAATTGTCTCACAAAAATGAGCCATCTAAACAAAAACTTTAAAAAATTAACATGAGCATCCGTATCTGAACACGTTCGTCGAGTGGAGTAATGTTGATCAATATTTTTTGCAGTCATGCAAATTGATCACAAAAACACGGTCATACTTTTTTCGGGCAAATTTAACTCGATTGTGAATTTTACGGAATAGTGTCCAGTACTTTTACCGCCTCGCGTCGTCTTATACTATCAATTTGGCTCTCTTTTGTGTAAAGTTCGGATTTGTCTACTTGCATGTGCATCTTCTTTTCCCTGAATGATTGATCATCATCACATAAAATCTGCAGTTGGTAGTAGCTTGCTAGGACCTATAGGTACGTACTATGAAAATTGCCCGTGCATTGCAACGGGAGATAATTCACATACTCCTCTACCCAATTGCATGGACACCTGGTGCATCGTATGTCCATGATTCCGCGGGATTCTGCTTTAGAGACATCGATGAATATGATGCAACATATAACTTTTGTTAGGCTCGAGTTTTGGGACACTCAGACCAAAACTCAAGTGAACTGTCCTCAATAGATCCCCGGTTCACCGATTCTCCAGCACCTGGTTTTCTCCAAAAAAAAGCACCACACCGGCAAGAAATTCCAACCAGCCGAATCCCAGGTCAGTCCATCGGTGGCAAATCGGAGCACGGGTCGATGGTGATGCTGCTCGGTCTGAAAAGTATGCCTTTTATATTATCTTACACGCTAGTATTTACACTAATACAATTTCAAAAAAAATTATTTACACTAATACAATAATACCCACGCAAGTCCCCTTTAAAACCCATGAATGGAAATGAAATAGAGAAAAGAAGAAAGGAAGGTGTAAAGCATATACGAGTGAAAAACACGGGAAAAATTGCAAGCACGAACTGAAACACAAACCCCACCTGTAATTCAATCATACCTAATAGAAATATTTTGTAGGTGCAACGAGCATGTACATATATATTGCCACGTATTCCTTCTTATCCATCATCATCATCATCGGCGCCGGTCCCGACGTCATACTTCGCACGGTCTCCTGGCCACTGCTGCTAAGATGTAACGCCCCATGACCAATGTGCCAGGTGTCTTCTGTTGGGAAACGTTGCAGAAAAAAAATTCCTACGGTTTCACCAAGATCCATCTATGAGTTCATCTAGCAACGAGTGATCGGATGCATCTACATACCTTTGTAGATCGCGAGCGGAAGCGTTCAAAGAACGGGGATGAGGAAGTTGTACTCGACGTGATCCAAATCACCGGAGATCCTAGCGCCAAACGGACGGCACCTCCGCATTCAACACACGTATGGTCAGCGTGACGTCTCCTCCTTCTTGATCCAGCAAGGGGGAAGGAGAGGTTGAGGAAGATAGCTCCAGCAGCAGCACGACAGCGTGGTGGTGGTGGAGAAGCAGTACTCTAACAGGGCTTCGCCGAGCTCTACGGAGGAGGAGGAGGTGTTGGAGGGGAGAGGGAGGCGCCAGGGGCATGGGTGCGGCTGCCCTCCCTCCCCCCCTCTATATATAGGGTCCCCGGGGGGGCGCCGGCCCTAGAGATCCAATCTCCCAAGGAGGCGGCGGCCAAGGGGGGTGGAGTGCCCCCCAAGGCAAGTGGGGCGCCCCCCACCCTAGGGTTCCCAACCCTAGGCGCAGGGGGAAGGCCCAAGGGGGGCGCACCAGCCCACTAGGGGCTGGTTCCCCTCCCACTTCAGCCCATGGGGCATTCCAGGATAGGTGGCCCCACCCGGTGGACCCCTGGGACCCTTCCGGTGATCCCGGTACAATACCGGTGACCCCGAAACTTGTCCCGATGGCCGAAATAGCACTTCCTATATATAATTCTTTACCTCCGGACCATTCTGGAACTCCTCGTGATGTCCGGAATCTCATCCGGGACTCCGAACAACTTTCGGGTTACTGCATATTCATATCCCTACAACCCTAGCGTCACCGAACATTAAGTGTGTAGACCCTACGGGTTCGGGAGACATGTAGACATGACCGAGATGGCTCTCCGGTCAATAACCAACAACGGGATCTGGATACCCATGTTGGCTCCCACATGCTCCTCGATGATCTCATCGGATGAACCACGATGTCGAGGATTCAAGCAACCCCGTATACAATTCCCTTTGTCAATCGGTACGTTATTTGCCCGAGATTCGATCGTCGGTATCCCAATACCTCGTTCAATCTCGTTACCGGCAAGTCACTTTACTCGTACCGTAATGCATGATCCCGTGACCAGACACTTGGTCACTTTGAGCTTATTGTGATGATGCATTACCGAGTGGGCCCAGATATACCTCTCCGTCATACGGAGTGACAAATCCCAGTCTTGATCCGTGTCAACCCAACAGACACTTTCGGAGATACCCGTAGTATACCTTTATAGTCACCCAGTTACGTTGTGACGTTTGGTACACCCAAAGCACTCCTACGGTATCCGGGAGTTACACGATCTCATGGTCTAAGGAAAAGATACTTGACATTGGAAAAACTCTAGCAAACGAACTATACGATCTTGTGCTATGTTTAGGATTGGGTCTTGTCCGTCACATCATTCTCCTAATGATATGATCTCGTTATCAATGACATCCAATGTCCATAGTCAGGAAACCATGACTATCTATTGATCAATGAGCTAGTCAACTAGAGGCTTACTAGGGACATGTTGGTGTCTATTTATTCACACATGTATTACGATTTCCGGATAACACAATTATAGCATGAATAAAAGATAATTATCATGAACAAGGAAATATAATAATAATCCTTTTATTATTGCCTCTAGGGCATATTTCCAACAGTCTCCCACTTGCACTAGAGTCAATAATCTAGTTACATTGTGATGAACCGAACACCCATGGAATTTTGGTGTTGATCATGTTTTGCTCTAGGGAGAGGTTTAGTCAACGGATCTGCTACATTCAGGTCCATATGTACTTTACAAATATCTATGTCTCCATCTTGAATATTTTCACGAATGGAGTTGAAGCGACGCTTGATGTGCCTGGTCTTCTTGTGAAACATGGGCTCCCTGGCAAGTGCAATAGCTCCAGTGTTGTCACAGAAGAGTTTGATCGGCCCCGACGCATTGGGTATGACTCCTAGGTCGGTGATGAACTCCTTCACCCAAATTGCTTCATGCACTGCCTCCGAGGCTGCCATGTACTCCGCTTCACATGTAGATCCCGCCACGACGCTCTACTTGCAACTGCACCAGCTTACTGCCCCACCATTTAAAATATACATGTATCCGGTT